GGCTCTGCCTTTTCCTGTTTCTTTTTTTTTAGTGGCTCAGAGCTCCCCAAAGCACCTTCTATTTGGGGTCTAGTGTCTACTTAACCCTCCTGAGAAGGTAAGATAGACATTCAATTCCATTTTAAAAACCTTCTTTCTAGACTTCTCACAAGTGGACAACGTTAAAATAGAAATCGCAGGTTGGGGGGCTCAACCAGGCTGGAAAAGTACTGAACATAGCTTGTAACTCAAATCAGACATAGGGGAAAACCAGACTTGAAAAACAAGTCCAGATAAGGGTGACATCTGGGGAAAGAAGGAAGTTGAGGAAAAGCCTGTCAGGGGGAAGAATAGCTTTAGCAAAACGGCAGGAATTCCGCCAGAGTGGCATCTGGGGAAAGAAGGAAGCTGAGCAAAGCCTGTCAGGGAGAAGAATAGCTTTAGCAAAACGGCAGGAATTCCACCTGGCCCTCGCCCGCCCGGGGGCAGGCTGTTAGTATAGTAGCCAAACAATAGGAATAGGATAGATCAGCCAAGGTCGGGAGGGGTGATAAAAGGAGGGACTGCCCCTCCGCCCTTCGCCCTTCGCCTGGCGATTGCCTGCTGCTGTGTCAGCTACAGCAGGGGCCCAGATTCAAATCTGTAATCAATAAACGCTTGCTTGCTCAAACCATCTATGAGTCGGTGGTCTGTCTCTGGGGGACTCGCTCTGTAACAAACGTCTTGCTTTTCAGTAAGCAAATCAAATTCACTGCCTTTAAAAACATTCAAATAAAATATTCACATTTACCCCCATATTGCTTCACACCATATGCAGCTGGAATAATGAATTACCTTTTTTAAGAAGCTTAGATCCTACGATAATGTACAGTTTTTAGACTTATGTACGGAAAGCCTTCCCAAGCTCAGCCAACGCGCATGTACCATAATGACATGCCCCTCCCCCCTCTGAAGTTTATAGTCACGTGTTTTAGTAGAATCTCAAATGACTGGGTCACAGTCAGTGCTCTTCCATGTTATTGTGATGACTTTTCTTTACTGAATAACATTTTAAAAACTACCATTGGGGTAAGAGCAAAGTGAATAAAGGGCTAAAATATAGTTTAGAAAGTGTCAGAGTGACAGGAAAGGCTCCACATTGTCCTGCAAATGTCCTTCATTTGGAGAAGAGAAGCCCCCAAGAGCCCCGGTTCCCTCTGAGGGTCCCACCCCCTCCCCGCAACCCCTCTCCATCTCCTTGAGGGCAGCACCACCCACAACTGTGATGTAGGAACACTTTCTTCTCCACCCTCTTTCTGTTGTAATTATTATTATTATTTTCTTGTTGTTGTTGTTGTTAATCCTCACCTGAGGATATTTTCCCATAGATTTTTAGAGAGAGTGGAGGAGAAAGGGAAAGACAGAGAGAAATGAGAGAAACACACCCATTGTTTGCCTCCTGCTGGAGCCTTGACCAGGGCCTGGGTTGGGGAGGAGCCTGGAACCGAGATCTGTGCCCTTGACAGGAGTCAAACCAGGGTCCCTTCGGTCAGCAGGCCAATGCTCTGTCCACTGAGCCAACCCGGCCAGGGCCAAGGTATCACCTTTTTTTTGTTTTGATTTTTGAATTTCCCATCTGACTTTATATTCTAATACACTTTCTTGTTTTTAAAAGAACAAAACAAAACCAAAAAACCAATACACTTTCTGTGGGGATGACAAATATCAGTATTAGGAAATCCAATTATACAAAAATACTACATCTAGTTGTGTAGATATATTATGCTTTGGGGACATACATTAGGTGGCGCTCATTACACAGTGACTATAGGGTAACTACCATGAAGCACAGAACTGTAGCGGCCACAGCTGCAGGCCCTGGGCCTCTCTGCTGAGCACGTTGGGAAACTGGATGCCCCCTCCAGAGGCCCGACCAGGAAACCTGCTCAGGAGTCCAGCCCTGAAGGGGCAGCTCCCAGAGTCCCTGGCAGCTGACAGAGGCCAGGCAAGCACGTGAGTGATGAAGTAGTTACAGCCTCACTCACAAAAGCTACCATTTCTCCTTCTAGAAAGAAGCAGGAAGGGAAGGAATTCCTTGAATCCGCGCCTGGCGTGTCAGGTGGGAGCGCAGAGGAGGCTGGGAGAGCGGTGGCAGGAGACCGGCGGGGCCAGGTGGGCTGGATCCTTCATAACCATGGTTGGCTCCTAAGCACTGGTAGCAAGGTGACTTCTGATTTGTCATCTCAGGTAAATTACAGATAAATGGAAAAGGCCCGGAGTCATACAGGAAAATTAATAAACGGCGCTTCCAAACTGCTCGCAGCAGGCTCTCCACACGGGAACCCTGATTTCTTCTTCCCGCGTCTGGCTTGCAGAGTAGCTCCCATGGCCATTTCCAAACCTCCCTCCCTCCATCTTCGGTCTTTGCTGAGCATTCCGTGTCCCATAAGCGCCAGTCCTATGGCATCTCTCCCCTTCTTCCGCTTCCACCGCTCCTGCTGCATCTTGGCGGCTCCCCTATGGGCTCATCCTTCCCAAGATCCTACTCGCTCCCAGCCAGGACTATGGGCTCATGGGGACAGAAATGCTTGACCTGCGGAGGCCCTTTCTCTGGGATGTTCTCTAAACCCTCAGGGCTGTCAGTGGAGAGACACATCCGGAGAACATCTGTGTCCGGGCAGGAGAGGGAACTCCAGCCACCATCCTCCTCCTGCCCAGCTGTGCCCTCAGAAGCCCGCTCGGCCTGCTCTCCATCGCCTTTCCTGCCTGCCCCCTCCTTCCCACGCACCGGAGGTTCCTGCACCCCTGGGAACCGGGTCTTTGTAAGAACAATGAGCCAGCAAGTCTTGCTACCAGCGCCATCACCAACCATCACCGATTTCCCTGGATGACAGCCATTGCTGACAAAGGTGCTGCAGGACGCACGCGACGCCTGTGAGAGAAGCTCTGCAAAGGACCTTGACCTTCTCAGGTGAAAGGTGCTCGGGAGCCGGTCCGACTTCGGCCTCGCTAAGCCCACAAAGCTGGTCCCGTGTCCCAAGCTCCGTTCTTGGCAAGAAATGAACAAACCAGGTCACATCCAAAACCTCATTTCAATACAGAGCAGGAAGTTGCAGCTCAGAGCACGAGGAAATAAAGACAGCGATAGTGAGGGCGCAGCACCACCTCTGCTGGACAGGAAAGTGTGGAGTGTAGGACAGGGCCAGCGCCCCAAACAGAGGTTCTTGAGTCAGGAAGTGGGAGCGAGAACACATCTTCCATCACTCAGTCCCCACAAGGCAGCTGCCTCACGCTGTGGAGGACAAGCATCACGAACAAGTTTAGGTCAGTGGCTGTAACTGGTGACATTCTCAAAGCCCACTTCATGCTCACAGTGTCCCACAGACTCCCCACCACCCAGTCCTCCCCTCTGCCACCCCTCCCCACGGCAGGGTCCCCCCTTTAGAAGCCGAGAGACACATCAGAGCCCTGGGGGTTGTCACTGCCTGGTGGGGACACACAAGGACGGGGTCAGAACCCCAGGGCAGGAGACTAAGGAGGAACCATGGGGGTGAGGTCCCCCATGGACTCCCGTCTGTAATCTTCCAGGGTCTCAGGGGTCTCCCCTCCATACTCACTGGCAGCCTGAGCATAGCTCCCTCCTTTCCCACCTGCGGGAAGAAAACATCCCGTAAGAGACCAGGGAGGAGGTAGGGCCATGAGGTCCTAAAGGAAGCCCTAGTCCTGGGCCCCAGAGAAGTATCCAGAATCCTGTGTAGAGACCCAGGGCAGGATCAGGAAACCTGAGGGCAGTGCATGGGTGAGGACTGGACCCACCGCCCTCCTGGAGGTCTTTGCTCAGCAGGGACCTGCCCTCTGACCGGGGACTGCTGGGAACTGGGTCCCCACCACCAGCACCATCAGGTGATAAGTGGGTCCCTCATTTTCCCACGGGCCTCACTACAGAGTAAGTGTGAGCACAGAGCCCCACACTTGGGGATGGTGCTTCCCATGAAGGAGGCGAGACACACGTCTACCTGGGCTTGAACCCCCAGTGGGACAGACACTCAGACCCCACCCCTGCCCACCTGAGCGCCTCCTCTTCCACATCACAGCTCCAGCCACAGCTCCCAGCAAAACCAGGCCCCCAGCGATGCCCATGATGATGAAGATGAAGGTTTGAGGAGGCTCTGGGAGGAGAAGGGAAGGGAGGGTGAGTGCCCTGACCCCAGGCCTCAGTCCCGACCCCACTGAGGTCCCCCAGGGCCCCTGCTCCCCTGAGAAGAGGCTCTGTGCCCACGGTCCCTCCTCACCCCATCTCAGGGTCAGGGGCTCAGGCAGCCCCTCATGCTGCACATGGCACGTGTATCTCTGCTCCTGTCCAGGGGGCACCCCCACGGCCGCCCACTTCTGGAAGGTGCCGTCCCCCGCAGGCCTGGTCTCCACCAGCTCCATGTCCTGGGTCTGGTCCTCCCCGTCACGCTGCCAGGTCAGGGTGATGTCCGCAGGGTAGAAGCCCAGAGCCCAGCACCTCAGGGTAACCTCACTGTCAGAGACGGGGTGGTGGGTCACGTGTGCCTTTGGAGGGTCTGAAGGGAGGAGAGAAAATGCAGGAACTTTGCATCCACCATGGGACACTCCAGCAGCACCCATGTGACCATCCTGAATGTGGGCAGCACACCTGGGGGTGGGGGAGGGAGCACACAGCACACACATCAGCCTGGACAGAGGCACCTGGAAGGCCCTCCTAGTCTTTAGAAAGTTCTAGAATCAGAGAGACACAGCCCAGGCCACGAGGCAGGTCTCTGAGGGGAGAAAAGGGATTTGTGGTCCTGACCTGGGTGGAGGCCACGTGACTCAGAAAAGCTGGGGTGAGGCCTCAGACACAGTGGGTGTGGGCAGCGCACAAGGCCTGAGAGAGAATGTCCCCGTGGGTTCTAATAGCGGATGGGCTATTTCAGGGGGGTCTCCCTGCACCCCAGGATAACCTGCACTCCTAACTGTCCCTTAGAGGAGGGGGGTCCTCTGGTACCTGACCTAGACATCCAGGGGGGCTTCCTCCCTGACCCCAAGGGGGGGTGTCTGACACTGACCCCCTGTCCTGTCTCCTTGTAGCAACCCCAGTTCCGGGGAGAGGGGGGCGGCCCCAGGGCCCCTGGTACCTGCGCGCAGCAGGGTCTCCTTCCCTTTTTCCAGGTAAAGGCGGAGCCACTGTAGGCACTCCCCCTCCAGGTAGTTACTCCTACGCTCATGGAAACGGGTAGCCTCCCACTTGCTCTTGGTGATCTGAGCCGCCATGTCGGCCGCAGTCCAGGAGCGCAGATCCTCGTTCAGGGCGATGTAGTCGGCGCCATCGTAGGCCCACTGACTGTACCCGCGGAGGAGGCGCCCATCGGGTCCCATGTCGCAGCCAAGCATGCACTGGAAGGTGTGAGACCCTGACCCCGCCCCTAAGTCAGCCCCGCCC